AAAGAGCTTCTCCCCTAGGAGATGGGGCACAAGTCTGCATACTCAGCAGTCTCCTTGAGGCTGTTGGCTCATCCATCAACCTTCTGAACCTCTGTTTTCTCATTTGTACAAAAAGCTGAAGTTATTTCCTGGATATCCCTTTTCAAGATCCTTCAAAACTGCTGACACTTCTCACACTTCTGTACCCTCATCCCAGCCCTGGAAATTCTGTTCCAATCTTATTGAACTGCATGTAAACCCCCGAGCTCACCATCACCTTACCAACCTTCAGGCCTTTGTCCTTCTGCTCCCTCAGCCCAGCACACCCTTTCCTTCCCCTTATCCCAACTTTCAAGACTCCACTCAAAGATCAGCCCCCTAGGAAAACTTTCTTCCACTTCTCCATCCTCAGGTGGAACTTTCCCTACCCTCCTCTTCACCCCAGCCATTTTCCATGCACAAATTACACCCCTGTGACATCCAGAGCATTTTCTTACACATGCTTGCTAATCCACGAGTCTCTGCCTTCCAGACATCAATCAGCATCCTGAGAGCAGAATCTTCAGTGCTCTGTCTTTGTAAAGCAAAGAGATAAAATCAGAACAGTTCGGGAGTTGGAGTCCAGTGGCTTCAGGTTGAATTCTGGCCCTACCCCACATACATTCTGATCTTAGGAGAATCATGACTATCCCTGTGCTAGATTATATTATTGGCCCCAACTCTTTATTCCCTCCTTTGTCTGTGTTCTTTGCCATGTGACTTTGCAATTTATCCCACTAACGGAGCAGAGTATATTTCCCTGCCATTTGACTTTGGGTTTGGGCATAAGACTTGCTTTAGACAACAGAATGAGGAGGAAGTGACAGGATGCCTGTTTCAAAAGATGTATTGCAGGCTTTAATCCATTCTCTTGCACTCCTGCCTTAAGAAGAACATTCTCAGGCCAGCCTTCTGCTCTCAGGAGGTTCCGAAGCATGTGGAGCTGAGCCGCCTCAACCAAGCTCCCCATGCAGAGCCCAGCCTTGATTAACCAGCCCTGAGCCAACTTGCAAATTTGTGAGCAAGAATAAGTGATGGCTGCTGTGAACCACTGGATTTAGGGGTGGTTTGTTACTCGGCTATAGTTGACAGATATACTCTCTTCAACTCAGTGTCTTCATCTGAGGGATGATAAGTTCCTTGAGGCGCTATCATAGGATTAGATTACATTCTGAATAAAGTATAAAACTCAATGTCTGACTCATCATAAGTGCTGACAAAATGGCAGCTATTGGTTCCCTGAAAATTTCAACATAGATTTATGCTATGACCCAGAATGTCTGCTTCTAGGTATATACACAAAAGAATTGGAAACAGTCATTCAAACAGATACTTGTACACAAATGTTCAGAGCAGTATTATTCATAATAGCTAAAAGGTGCGAACGACCCAAGTGTCCATTGACAGACAAATGGGTGAATAAAACATGATATGATATATCCATATGATTAAATATTATTAAGACATAAAAAGAATGATGTCCTGGTATATGCTACATCATGGTTGAACCTTGAAAATATTATGCTAAGTGAAATAAGCCAGACACAAAAGATAAATACTGTATGATTCCACTTATCTGAAATATCCAGAATAGGCAAATTTGCAGAGATAGAATGCAAATTGGAGGTTACCAGGGACTGGGGGGTAAGGAGGAACGGGGAATTATTGCTTACTGGGTACAGAGTTTCTGTTTGGGGTGAAGGTTTGGAAACAGATAGTGCTGAGGGTTGCACAACATCGTGAATGTAATTGATGCCACTACATTGTACACTTAAAAATGGTTAAAATGGTGACATTCCTGTTATATGGATTTTACCACATTTTAAAAATGGTACTTAGGTGTTCAAGACAATCCTGGATGACATAGAAAGACCCCATCTCTATAAAAGATAAAAAATGAAAAAAAAAATAGCTGGGTATAGAGGTTTGCCCCTGTAGTCCTGACTACTTGGGAGGCTGAGGTGGGAGGATTGCTTGAGCCTGGGAGTTCCAGCCTGCAGTGAGTCATAATTGCACCACTGCACTCTAGTCTGGGTGACAGAGTGAGACACTGATTCAAAAGAAAAAGGCAGTTACTGTATTTCTCTGTTCAGCAACTGTACATAATAAATGCTGAGTAAAAGTCTGTTGAATGTTGCTGAAATAAATGAAATGACCATTGGATGGGTAGATGCGCAAATAACCAAAGAGTTAAATAAATGACTCAGTTAATGGTGAGCAAGTGAAGAAACCACATAAGCTCTTTACCATGGCCACCTACTTAAAAGATGTACAACAACCAGGACATGGGACCCTACAGTCTTATGTAGAATTAACTATATTGAGAGCAATAAGTATAAAAATCACACAAAGCAGAAAATGCAACCTAGGGGATCCATGCAGACCTGTAGTCCCAGTAGGGCAGAAAGCAGGTCTGGGATGACAGGGCACAAGGACAGTGGCCCAGCAGGGGACACCAGAGGCTCCAGCAGTGGAAAGAAACACATGGTTGCTACAATGAGTAGCAACTCCGGCTGGTGGAAATGAGAGCGGGCTGCAGGTACAGGGCTGCTACCTGCAGAGTAACATATGTTACCAGGTTGATCTTGCGCCTCGGGGAGTCTGGGGAAAACCCAGGTTCTAGAAACCAGAAACAGTGATGATGAATAGAAACCCTTGTGCAAGCGCAACACTTTAAATTGTAGACACCACTTTCCCGGGGATCAGCTGACTCAGTCCTCAAAACCACCTTGTGAAGGTTTATCTTACTATTTCTAATAGGCGAAGAACATAAGGCTCAGATGGGTGACAGAATAGGTCCAAGGTTACCTGGTGCACAAGAGGCAGGGAGCCACCTCCCAGGGACTGGCTTTATTGGTTCCAGTGAGAATTCCATTGGCCCCATTGAGAACTTCATTGGCCCCAATGCTGCCCAATGAGTGCACACAAGGCAGGGGTGGAACTTGAACCCAGGTGACTTCACCCCCATATCCTATGCTCCTTCAAACACACCCTAGAAGAAAACCTTCCAGCAGCGCTAGGGTTTGAATGTGTGTCTCCAAAACTCGTGTTGAAATTTAACTGCTGTTGGAACAGTGGAGAGAGATGGGACCTTTGGGAGGTGGATGGGTCATGAGGGTGGAGGCCCTCATGAGTGGGATCGATGCCATTATAAAGGATGAGTTTGGCTCTCTTTTGCCTCTTTTTTGCCTTCCGCCATGTGAAGATGAAGTGTTTTGTTCCTCCCCTTTGGAGGATGCAGCATTCCAGGCACTATCTTGGAATCAGAATCTCCAAGTCTGCCAGCACCTTGATTTTGTACCTCTCAGTCTCCAGAGCTGTGAGCAATACATTTCTGCATGTGAATTACTTAGTCTCGGGTATTCTCTGATAGCAGCTCAAACAGACTAAGACAAGTGGGGAAAAGCAGAAATCTCTCCCCTGGTGTGTTGATCTTGGATTTGAATCACAGCTTTGGTTGCTGGCTAGTTCTCCAATTTGGGGAAGCTCACTTGAACCTGTGTTCTGATCTGTAGAATGGGAATAAATGAACCTGCATTATCACATTGTCCTAAGGACGCGAGGTAACGCAGGCAGGAGTGTTTAGTACAGCATCCACCCCACAACAGGAGGTCAGTGCAGTCATGGTCACCCTTATTTGTCATCTCTTCTCTCTGGTCCCTTTCCCCCTCACTCTCCCCTCTTTGCTCCCCTTCTTCCGTCTCTTCCTGGATTCTCTCTCTCATCTCTCATTGTTCTCTTGTCTCCTCAGGAAACACGTCCTCCCCATAAACCCACACTTCCCACGTTCTTCCATCTGGTCCCTCAAAAACCCGCAGGTCCCTGTCCTAGGGAACAGCAGGTAGATGTGAAATGTTGAGTAACTCCTTCCCACAGGTCCGGGCTCCCTGGCCTGTCCATCCCCGCCATGTCCCTCTGCTCCACAGGTTCCATGCCCTTGGTCACACTGCTTTCTATCTTACATTCTTGACTTTGTATGTACTTTGAATAATAACTCTCCCCACCTTGGTGAGGCCACAAATTATCACTAATCTCCAGGAGAGATTAAATGTTGTCAACAGTTGGTTTCTCGCATAGACTGGAGGATCCTGGGCTAAGGGGAAATGGATGGAGGAGGGCTGAGGTGCATGCTGATACCCAAGCCACAAGCAGGCTCTGCAGAAGCCAGCACAGCAGAGCCGGAGACACAGGAGCAGGCTCCAGAGCCCGGCCACCTGGAATAAGTCCCAGCCATGCCCCTTCTCATTTGTGTGACCTCAGAAAGGGGCATCACCTCTCCGGGCCTTAATCTTTTCATCCACTAAATGGGATAATCATAGAACAAGATGAGAGAATGAGCATGGAGCCTGCACAGGAGAGCTTTAAGCAATTATGAGAATGAAGAGAAGTATCATTTCTCAAAGTCCATGGACCCGGGCCTGAGCCCTGCACATACTTCCTTCCCAAGCCCTACATATCTCCCCAGAGCCGTGCATTTGGGAGAGCAGATAGAGAGTGCTGAGCAATTCCTCCAGGGGTACAGGGCTCTCTGGACCCAGATGTTGGGACACTTCGGGGATGGCCGTTCCCCCTCTCACATCCCACCAACTCCGGTCTCCTGAGCTAGGCCCTGCTGGGTCCCAAGCCCACCCTTTGGCAGCCAAGTAGAGCTGCCCCTCAATGAAATGTGATGAATGGTGGCCCTCAGAGCCATCAGCTTCCCAACTTAACTGACACCCCACTGCTTCCATCTTTAGGAATTCTGATTCTCCCTTCACAGACTGTCATAAAACCAGGCTAGAAGGCTTCCTTCCAACACCCACAGAGATGATTCAGCCAAAATGTTCATGAGCAAATATTACAGGGAAACAACCCCAAAGGGGAAAGTTCCCCCAAAGACCTACACGTTATTCTTCACTCAGTGCTTCATTTTTGGAGACAAAAGAAACCCTACCGTTCATCTGCTCCACAATGCAGGCGAGTGAACCAGGACAGGGCATTCGCAGCAGGGAACGTTTATTGAGCACTCTCTGTATACCCTGCACCGCACCAGCCAACTCTGGCACATCATCTCATTTCATCCTCGCACCGTCTGTGAGGCAGGGCTGCTGCTAATCCCATGGCACTGGGGGAAACTGAAGCTCAAGGTGGTGGAGCCACTCCCACCTGTGGGAAAATCCAGAGTCACACAGTCACAAGAAGAGCCCAGACCTGCCTGGCTTCAAAACAGGTGGTGAGCTCCCCATTGCTGGAGGTATCCAAGAGTCTGCAGAGGGACTTCAAGTATTCAGGAAGGGGGAGACTCCAAGATCAATGCCCCATGGATAGGCTCCATCTTCAACAGGGTTTCTCAATATTGGTGCTATTGAGATTGTGGACTGGATAATTCATTGCTGTAGAGAAGATTGTCCTGTGCATTGTGGGATGTTGAACAGCATCCCTGGCCTCTGCCCAGCAGATGCAGGTAGCACCTCCTCAATCACGGCAACCAAAAACATCTCAAGATATTGCCAAAGGTCCCCTGGGGTGAGGGGGACAAAATCACCATTTGAGAACCACTGTTCTACAAGGGTTTTTGAAAAAGTCAGCAGACATCCACCGAGACACGCGCTGACAATGCAGGGAGGAGAAGTTTTACACCCCTGCGGTACCTTCTAGGGAGACAGTTGTGCACCGCAGCAGCCTTTATATCATGGCAGAGATGCTGTATATCTGCTCCTCTGTCAGCATCCCAAAGGACCAGGAGGAATACTCCTGCACATTTAGAAAAGAAAGAGAGAGGAGACCCATGACCCAAAAATACGACATTGGAATTGAGGCACAATTTGACCTAAATGCAATAAAATTGTGCCATTAGTACCAGACCAGTAAGCACTACCCAACCCACTGATAACGCTGAGCTGCCACTAGACCTCAGTAAGCCTCGATATATTTTAGCCTTGATTTAAAACGGAAGAATCTGCAGGTCAGACCTGAAAAGATCCTTAGAAAGTAGAGATCTGCTCTCTGGTCCTGTGTTGTGAGTGTGTTGTGCGGTGTGAGGGTGGGGGCAGGTGGCGGGGGGGCGGTGCTGGCCATCTGGGTTGGGCATCTTCTTTTTGTGCCCCCCATACAACCCCCAGATTGCCTCTCCACCCTTCTCCCCATGTGGACTTCAGTGGACTGTCTTGCCCTCCACCTTCTGATTTGGTTCTGCCAACTGCAGGCCCAGAAGGAAATCAGGGGCAGGGTAGATGGAGTCAGGGTACTTGTTCCCCCTGCTCCTGCCGGCCAGAGTCTCTGAGGATTGGCTGCATCCCTTCACTGAAGGTCTCAGCCAAGGATCTTTTCTCCCTCGGCACCTTCTCCCCTTAACTCTTAACCTTCCCTCATCTGGTTAGGAATGATGATGGCGCCCACTGATGCTAGACCCCAATTATACTCTCCTGTGTAGGTTCCCTACACTCTCCCCACACCTTTATAAACAGTTCCTTTACTAAACTGTCCTCAAATTATCCCAATTATGTATGCGCCATGTGTTTCCTGCTTGAGCCCTGACTGATAGATAAACCAAGTGGTTCTTTGTTCAAACAAAATTGTATGCAAAAACTCAGCAGATAAAACAGATCAGAGCGGAGTTCCTGCGTCCATCCATTCACGTGGATTTATTATGTGTCAGCCCTTAGCCAGAGTCTCTGGGCTGGGGCTGAGGACACACTAGTGAGTGAGAACAGTGAGGTCCTTACTGGCTGGAGTATACAGTCTTGCAGGTGGCAAAGGTGGAGCAGGCGGCCTGAGCTCCTTGGTCCCCGACACTGTCTTTGTGGGGCCTTATTTAATAACCACAGAATGTCATGTTAAGGCCTGTGATCCAGTTCCCTTTTCCTACTCCCATTTTTCAGATACGAAAGCTGAGGCCTAGAGGAGGAAAGGGAATTGCCCAATATCTAAGACAGTCTACCTTCTGGAAGTTAATGGAATCGTGCCTTTTTTTTTTTTTAACGGATTCTCACTCTGTTGCCAGACTGGAGTGCAATAGCACGATCTTGGCTCACGGCAACCTCCGCCTCCCAGGTTCAAGCAATTCTCCTGCCTCAGCCTCCTGAGTAGCTGGGACTACAGGTGTGCGCCACCACACCCAGCTAATTTTTGTATTTTTAATAGAGATGCGGTTTCACCACGTTGGCCAGGATGGTCTCGATCTCTTGACCTCATGATCTGCCCGCCTCAGCCTCCCAAAGTGCTGGGATTACAGATATGAACCACCACACCCAACTGGAACCCTGCCTTCTTAGTTTGGAGTGATGGCTAATATTTGGTGAGTTGTCAGTGTGTGCTGGACCCTTGACTACATACGGGTCACAGTTTAATCCCCTAATGACTCTCTGAAGTGGGAAGGAGTATTATCCCTACTTTATAGACAAGGCTTGGAGAGATGAAGTGACTTGTCCAGAATCACGGAGCGAGCTAGAGCCAGAGCTGGATGGAACCCAGGAAATCTATGGAGGAGGGAGAGGGGCTGTGAAAAATGTCACCCTCAGAAAAGCATCTGAGTGTGTGATTTTTTTAATCATCTTGCAACCATAAGGAAAATTCTTGGTGCCTAAATCATCCCCTGAGACAGGGTAAGAGAGGGGCACAGGCATCCTGGATCCCTCAGATATCAGCTTCGTTTCAGAACATTCTTGGCTGGAATGAAAATGGCACAGAAGCCACGGTCAGTCAGGTTCACAGGAAGGGTTCAGGACACGCATGAGAGTCCCTGAGAGTGCCCACCGTGCACCCCAGCTTAAAATATCTCCACCAACGTCTCAGCACCCTGCCATGATGCTTGAAATGCCACCGTAAGAGTCACTTTTGTGCAGAGCATGACATGCACTTCTCAAAGGAACACAGGAAATAGGCATAAATTACCTGGATGCAGTGACACATTAAGGGAGGGGAAGAAAGGACTGGGAGTTTTTGAGTACCTACTAGGTGCTTTCCATAGGGGAGACTCAATAAATGGTAGTTTAATATTACATGGATCATATCTATGGAATACATCTTATTTGTCACAACAGGGCAGTGAAGAGGGCACTGCTACCTTGATATTTACAAATGTCAGGCTCAGAGTAGTTAAGTGATTTGCTCAAGGTCACACAGCTGATGTGGTGCAGAGCTAGGCTGGAGCTTCAGTGGCAAGCCTGCCTACTTTCCATCACCTGTGCTATCACCCAAGCTCGAGGGACCAACTTTAAGGGGTTCCAATGGGCTAGAGACAGAAAATATGGATGTTCGAGGGGCAGTACTAATCTTGGGGGCACCATGATGTACCTGGGTCTGTCTCCCCATAAGAATTAGCTGTGGGACCTTCCCTGAGCTGGACTTCGGTTTCTTTTCAGGTAAAAAAAAGAAGCTGCATTTGACAACCCCCTTAGCTTCCTTCTATTTCTGAAGTTCTGCGCACCACAAATTTGCTGATGGTATGCAAATTTGCATAGACTAATTTATGCAAATTCACATTGGTCCCTAGCAAGGTTCAACCCAACTGAATACTATTAACAACAGATACTTTCAAAAGGCTAGGAGGCCAGGCGCAGTGGCTCACACCTATAATCCTAGCACTTGGGAGGCCGAGGAGGGTGGATCGGTTGAGCCCAGAAGTTGGAGACTAGCCTGGGCAAAATAGTGAAAGCCCATCTTTACAAAAAAATAGAAAAAATTAGCTGGGCATGGTGGCATGCACCTGTAAATCCAGATACTTGGACGGTTGATGGGGGAGGATGGCTTGAGCCATCTGAAGACTGAGGCAGCAGTGAGCCACGACTGCGCCATTGCCCTCCAGTCTGGGTGACAGAGGGAGGCCTTGCATCAAAAATAAAAGACATCTATTTAATGGGTGCAGAAGAAAGTGCTCTCCACCTCCCATCCCTGCCTGTTCCCCACCTATGTCCCAGAACAGGGCACTCAGACTGTGGGTCTTTTTCCTTAGGATGAAGAGGTAGGAAAACAGGCAAGGCGTGAGCAACCTCTCACAGACTGTGGTGGGGACCAGCTGCTGCTGGTTACTTGGAGTTTTTTGCTGCATAGGGGATGTCATCAGGGTTAAACCGGATCCCAGAGAGGGGGTCCCTGCACTCCTGTGATGCCCCAAGCCCTACCCAAGTAGAACTTGCAGACCCCTCTCCTGTCCTTGCACTCATGGGCCCCTCGCCCTGAGGCTGTTAGAAGCAGCTTGTTAAAGGCAGCAAATTTAAAAATAAAATGTTTAAAAATTTTTTAAAATAAGAGAAGCAATGTCTCTTCTCTAAACAGATCGATTATTGCTGGGACACCTCAATGATCTCATTGTGCTTGGCTCACCACCCTATGTTACTTACAGAGACCCGTTGGTATTTCTGAAGAACTAAAACATTCCTCCAGCCGGATCTCACTCACAAGTACAATATGATCTCCCATCATATGCTTTTAACCACAGACTCCTCAATATCCCAACCCAAACACGGTCAGTGTAACTTGGATGGCTCCAATTCCCAGACAGGGTCATCAGACAGTGATCTCCGGAAAATTCCTCCCAGGTGGGCTGCCTGTCGGAGAATCACAAAAAGACATTTTATTTTCAATTCACCTCCACTATGATATGGGTCTACGGCATCCAAGAAGGGATAAATCAGCTGCACAAAGAACTTTAAACCAGGCACAGTGGTGCACGCCTGTAGTCCTAGCTACTCAGGAGGCAGAGGCCAGAGGATCACTTGAGGCCAGGAGATCGAGGCTGCAATGAGCCGTGATGATGCCTGTGAATAGCCACAGCATTCCAGCCTGGGGAATATAGCGAGAGTCTGTCTCTTCAAAAAAAAAAAATTAATTAATTAATTAATTTTGAAAATTTTGAAATAAATCAGAAGAACTTTGATCCAGCCTTTAAACTGTAGGACTTGGTAGACAAGTTGGGAAGGGAGACCATGCCTGGGGCGAAATAGTAGGAGCACAGGTGTGGAGGCACGACACAGCTGGTTCTCGGTACACTAGTGAGGAAGAGGAGCCGCCAACCCACCGGAAAAGAAAATGGCCCTTTTGGGACTAATAGGAAATAAGGGGTTTTTGTCTGGTTTTGTTTGTTTGTTTGCAACAGAGTCTTGCTCTGTTGCCCAGGCTAGAGTGCAGTGGCACAATCGTAGCTCACTGCAGCCTCGAACTCCTGGGCTCCAGTGATCCTCCCATCTCAGCCTCCCTAGTAGCTGGGACTACCAGCATACTCCACCATGCCCAGCTAATTTTTATTTTTTGCAGAGATGAGGTCACACAATGTTGCCCAGGCTGGTCTCAAATTCCTGGGCTCAAGCAATCTTCCTGCCTTGGCCTCCCAAAGTGCTGGGATTACAGGTGTGAGCCACTGCAGCTAGCCAGAAATAAGTTTTTTAATAGATGGAGTGCGGTCAGATTATCAAAGCCTTTGAAAGGCAGGCAGGTGAAGTGAAGTTTATAGTTAATTTAATAGACAGGAGGGAGCCTCACAAGGTGTTTGAGCAGGGAAATAATAATGCAAGATAGAGTCGATCATCATTATTCAGGGGTTCTGTTTTTGCAAATTCACCTGCTTGGTAAAATTTATTTCTAACCCCAAAATCAATACCCACAACTCTTCCATGAGTACTGGCAGTGTAGTGAAACAGACGAGTCCCTCACACACGTGTTTTCGGCTGCGGCTGAGCAAGGCTGTCTTATTTCAGCTCTCATACTATTAGCTAGTCCTTTTTGCAGTCTATTTAGTTCCATCTTTTTCACATTTGTGTGTTTTGTCGCTTTTGGTGATTTTGCTGTTTAAAAGGGGCCCAGGCACGGTGTTGAAGCGCTGTCTCGTGTTCCTAAACCTAAGAAAGTCATGAGGTGCCTTACAGAGAAAATGCATGCATTCAGTTAGCTTCACTCAGACATGAGTTACAGTGCTTCCGGCTGTGAGTTCAACATTTAATAACCCAACAATAAATATTAAATAAGGTATCTTTAAACAGAAACACACATAAAACTTGGTTATGTGTTGATCAGTTGACAATCTAGAAGCAATGGGTCAGTTTTCACTAATTCAGTGATCGCAGCAATTTTATAGAGCATAACTGGCACGAATAATGAGAATCGCCTATATCAGCATTTTGGACTCTAAGGAGACCACAAGACCATGAAAAGAAGCCATCTCTTAAGAGAGTGTATGCTCCAGAGTCAAACTACCTGGGTTCAAATCCCGGCTCTTCTGCTTACTAGCTGTGCCACCTTGGGTGAGTTGCTTGTCTTCTCTGTGCCACAGTATTTCATCTGTAAAACAGACACAACGATTGTCTCTTTATCATAGGGTGACTAGGAGAATTTAAATGTGTTAATGTTTGTCAAGTTCTCAGAAGACTATCTGGGACATAATGAATCCTGTTTACATGTTTTGTGTTTGTTAAATAAATAAAGAAAAGGGAGAAGGTGAGAGAAAGAGAGAGAGAGAGCATGCACCTCATTTCACAGGTGAGGAACCTGAGGCAGGCCCACATCTGAGTCTTTCCAGCGACGACATGGGGAGGCAGCTGGCTCTGGGGAACCCAGATCAGAGTCAATTCAATGACGGGGATGCAAAATTGAGGTGGTGGTGACAACCACAGGGATAGGCGCTAACTCACGGTGCTGAGCAAAGGCACGGTGTGACTGAGGAGCCCGCCAAGACCCATCCACCTGTGACCACCAAGGGACACTTCCTCTTACTCCCCCTTTCCAAGTCACAGCCAGATGGAACCCAGAGTGCTCTAAAGATGCACCTCTCCACCTCGCCATTTAAGAATTACTAGGCATCTCCAGGCTGTGCGGCTGAGGAGCAAGAAATACTACCGCGCCCCAGCAGAAAGCTAATGAGAAACCGAACACAGCCAGACAGAAGCTTAACAAGAAATACTGGCCCGGGCTCCCCAGAAGAAGAGCAGGCTCCGAAGGCCTGGCAGGCCGCCTGCCATCTCCCCGCAATGCATCGATCGGTGCAGGGAAAGCTGGAGACCGCGGGGAAGGAGATAAACGAGAAGATGTATGACAGGAGGGGCCCAGGGCTGATGAAAGGGGAAGGGAAGGTGGCTTAAATCAAGGGGCAAGTGCCGCGAGAGGGGCGGATAACAGGATTTGTGTTTACGGTTAACGAGGGGAATTGGTGGAGGTGCTGCTCTGGGGCAGGGGAGGTGGGTGAAGACTTGGGGAGGAAGAGGAAGAAAGGCTCCAGGGAGGGTAACCCACGCTCCAAGCAAATCACTAACATGAGCCAGGGGTAAGTCCCTGAAATGGCAAAATCCTTCCTGGTCCATTTGGCTGGAGCTGCGATTGCCTTTTATCTTCTCTCCTTTGTTTCCTAACTTTCCTGAGTGTCCAGGAAAGAATATCCACGTCTGCCTCTTTCTCCCACCACCAAGTCATCAGAATTCAAAGCCTGTGTCCGGACAACAGGGACAACAGGAAATGCTCACCGAGCACCTCCTCTGTGCTTCTGGCTGGGCCGAGAGCTTCCTGTGTCTTACTCCAACTAATATTCATCCCACGATAAAGGCACTGCGGTTGTTCTCACTGCACAGATAAGGAAACTGAAATTCAGAGAGGCCCTCCAATGTCACAGAACAGTGCTGAAATTCCAGCCCGGGCAGTGTGGCTCCAGTGCTAACCATGATTCCACACTAAGCCTGCTGACACCCTCAGCATTTATGCCTAATGGGAGATGGTTTGCCTGCATTTCAGGCCTTTGCACCACCTCCGATTTCTGCATCGCCGTGGCACACTGTTTCACGCAGGCTAGTAACACTCTTTGCAAGAAGCAGCCAGGAAACGACTCCACTTTTCTGCCTTAGGGACTTCTCCAAAGATGCAGAAGCAGCTCAGTTCTCCACTAGGTGCAGCCAACAAGTACAAGGCACTCACGTCCCCAGGGCTGGCCCTCTGCTACGGGATGAGGAGTTGAGAGATAAATGCCCCCATCCCTCAGGGGGGCAATTCTGAGGCACATTCTGCAGGGCTCCTCAGAGGATGTCTTGCAGGCTAGAGTCCCAGTTTCCCCCAGTGATAACCAGCTACACATAGGTATTATGCCCTCATAAGGTAGCCTGCTTTTCTTCCTCATCTCCCCGCTCCCTCACTCCTGCTTCCTGCGTCTCCTTCCAGCCGACTCTCCTGCATCCAAGCCCTCCTCTCAGGCTCCACTTGGCGGGGGATCGCAAACTAAGACAGGACACCACCTCAGTTAAATATAAGAAATGCAAGAAATAGGACCAGCTAAACAAAGACAAACTTTGGGGAGATTGCATGACAAGGAGATGAAAAGGGTCTCTCTCTCTCTCTCTCTGCGGTTTTACAGACACCTCTTTTAATGATTTAGCAAGATATTTCCTTGTTTTTAACACATTTCTATTAAATATAGAATATGGCATTAAGACTGGGTATGGCGGCTCATGCCTGTAAGCCCAGCACTTTGGGATGCCGAGGTGAGTGGACCACTTGAGGCCAGGAGTTCGAGACCAGCCTGGCCAACATGGTGAAACCCCATATCTACTTAAAAAATACAAAAAATAGTTGGGCGTAGTGACGTGCACCTGTAATCCCAGCTAGCAGGGGAGGTTGAGGCAGGAGAATCGCTTGAACCTGGGAGGCGAAGGTTGCAGCGAACTGAGATCCAACCTGGGTGACAGAGCAAGACTCAACTCAAAAAAAAAAAAAAAGAATATGGCATTAAAATGGGAGTATTTGGGCCTCTATTGAGGTAGTCTGAATTTATATATAATTTAGAATAGGATAAAAACAGAGTGATAATTTTAACTTCACTTTGTTACAATGATATGGTTTCTCTTATTCTCTCCAATTTTATTCCTCTATCGAGAACTTAAGAACTTTGGTCAACGCCTTTTCCCCATCCAGAGAAGTGCTGGGGGAAATGTGTCTGTCTTTCTTTCCACCCTTGACTTTTTCCTAATTCTGCTAATGACAGCCTGACTCCCATGAACCCTGACATCCAGTTGGTGGCATCGCCAGTCCTCAAAAGCCAGAAACCACCTCTACAAAGGTGACTCCATGTTAAAACAGAGCAAGACTCCATCTTAAAAAGAAAAAAAAAGTGTGTATATATATATATACACACACACATATATACACACACACACTTTTTATATATATGTGTGTGTGTGTGTGTGTGTGTGTATATATATATAGCTACAAAGAGGAACCAGAGTAGATTTGTTGAGTACAGATACAGAAGAGCCACATTCACCTCCAGATTTGCTCAAAACTGCACAGCAAAAATATGACCAAGTCTCTAGGAGCCCGTCTGAGCCTCAGTTTTCACATCTTTGAAAAAGAGATAATATTATTCACCTCAGTGCGTTGTCGCTGAGATCAGTAATCATAAACACTGTTTGAGTGCAGACCCCATTCAAAATTTGATTTTACAAATATTCTACAAATGAAAATAACTACTAGTCCTACCAGTAGAAGTAATAGTGATAGTGGTAGCAATAAAAGTAGTAACTGTAGAGGTGAAAATAGTAATCGTAGCAATAGTACTCATTGAAACAATAGTAGTAGTAATAGTAGTATTTAGTAAGAGTAGTAGTTGCAGTAGTATCAGGTTGGTGCAAAAGTAATTGTAGTTTCTGTCATTACTTTTAATGGCAAAAACCACGATGACTTTTACACCAACCTAACAGTAGCAAGCAAGATATTGCTATTGTGGTATTAATACCACATGATATTAATAGTATTAGTAATGGCAGTAGTAACAGAAGTAGTATTAGTAGTGATAATAATATGGCAGTAGTAGCAGAAATAGTAGCAACAGTAGTACTGGTAAAAATAATAGTGACAGTAGTAATTGCAATTAGTGCTAGTAGGAATGGTAGTTGATGTAGCAATAGCAGTCATAATAAATAGTAAGAGTTATAATAGCAATTTTTAGTAGTAGTGTCAATAGTAGTAGTAATAGTGAACAAAAGATTCAAGTGCAATAATTTACTAAGGAAGTGCTCCTGGGAAAATCAGTAAGAGAGTGAGATAAGCAGAACAGGAAACAAAAAAACACTAAGTAAGGATCAACCTCAGCCTGGTCCTGCAGGGAACCCAGGAACATAAATTGCACATTAGAGTTTGACTTTCCTTGAAGCAGAGGTTAGGCCCCCACGTCTCACACTAGTCAGTCAATAGCCCTGGGTATCCTAGGGGGCTGTAAACTCCAAGGCACCTGCTAGCCATAAGCAGAAAAGCATACCAGAGCAGAGAGATGGGTATGTGGCCCTGGTAAAGGCGATAGGAGCAGATCTAGGTGGACTCCAACATGACTGTGCTACTAAAATGTCAGAGGAATTTAATGCACAATAGACATTGGTACTGCGGGAGAACCTACCTTGAAGGAGATTACAATTTAGAAAGACATGCGTGTGCACACAAACACACACATGGACTAACGGCAATCCAGGTTCACTGAGGCCACGGTACAAGATCACATACACACTGGTAGACTCATTCTCTCATAAGGATGACAATTACAATCATAGTTAACATTTATTGGGTAGCTACTATGTATTAGGCACCGTACAATGTACTGTATCATCTCATCAATTCTTCTCCTAGATGGAAAAACTGAGGTTCAAGAGGGTAAGTAACTTGTCCAAGCTCGTGCACCTAAGAAGCAGAAGAGCTGGCTTCAGACTCAGGAATACTGTGCTCAGAACCTGTCTTCCTAAGCACCAGCCAGCTCCCCAGGCCTCCCAGATACACCCATGTGTACACATATGGAGACTTCCACCAACGAGCACATGTCTAATAAGATGATAGTCGGGGCCTCAAGAATTCAGAAGAGCAAGTCCTCACTAAAGTAGGGAGAGGAATACAGAAGGATTCTTGGAAGAGGTGACATATAATAGTAATTTTTATAAGTGGTGTGAATAGCAGTAGTAATAGTAAGCAAAGATTCAAGTGCGATAATTTACTAAGGAAGTACTCCCAGGAAATCAGTAAGATTTGGGCTTTGAAGGATGTATAGGAGCTTTGAAGGATGGGCCTGGGCTTTGAAGGATGTATAGGAGTCTGGACAAGCAGAAATAAGGAGACAGAGCTAGGGGTGGAAGGAGGGGAAGAGGGAAGGAAATTGAAGGTGCCAAATAGATAAAAATATGGACTCTGTGTGTGACCTCAGGTAAGTGGCTTAACTCTTCTGAGTCTCAATTTCCCTTTTGTGTAAAATGGGGAGGAAAGTAGATACCACCTTCCCAGACCTGCTGTGAGGATTCAATGAGCTAGTGCATGTAAAATACTTGGCACAGATCCTGGTGCTCAGTAGATGATCAGTTTCAGGCACGATTTTATAAATTATAACCACAGTCACTGTTACTACCAATGGCCAGTATTGGGACAGCCACCATCTTGTCGCCTCTTCCATGGCTTCTCCCCACCTGAAGCCTCCCTCCTTTGCCTGGCCTCTGGGATATCCCATCCTCAGTCTCCCCAGCATTTATCTTTAGAAATCAAAACTGGGGCTAGGAGTGGTTACTCACACCTGTAATCCCAGTACTTTGGGAGGCCAAGGGAGGAGGATCACTTGAGGTCAGGAGTTCAAAACCAGCCTGGCCAACATGGTGAAACCTTGTCTCTACTAAAAATAAAAATAAAAAATAGCCAGGCGTGATAGTGGATGCCTGTAATCCCAGCTACTCGGGTGGCTGAGGCAGGAGAATCACTTAAGCCCAGGAGGCAGAGGTTGCAGTGAATCAAGACCGTACCACTGCACTCCAGCCTGGGTGACAGAGTGAGATCCCATGTCAAAAGGAAAGGAAGGGAAAGGAGAGAGAGACAGGAGGGGGTAGGGGAGGGGAGGAAGGGAAGGGAGGGGAGGGCAGGGAAGGAAGGGAAGGGAAGGGAAGGGAAGGGAAGGGAAGGGAAAAAAGAAAATTGGGCCAGGCATGTTGTTGTGCACCTGTAATCCCAGCACTTTGGGAGGCAGAGATGGGAGGATTGCTTGAAACCAGGAGTTTGAGACCAGCCTGGGCAATATAGTGAAATCCCATCTATACCATAAAAAATTTAAAAATTAGCTGTGTGTGGTGGCACATTGCTGTAATCCCAGCTACTTGAGAGGCAAGGCAAGAGGATACCTTGAGCCCAGGAGCTGGAGGCTGCAATGAGCCAAAGTCACGCCACTGCACTCCAGCCCAGGCAACAGAGTGAGATCCTGTTTAAAAAAAAAGTTCCCCCATCACCATTTTCTGGGAGTTCACCTTCACCTCACTAATGATGAGTTTGGGTCTCTGACAGTGCTTCCAGAATGCGCCAGGTCCCGTGGTTCCTGCACTCCACCTGGAGCTACGAGAGCGCCGTCAGATAGTACAAGTTGTTATTACACTCCCACCACTACCTGAAGATTGTGATTTCCTGAGGCTGGGCCAATTTTTCTCACCAGCGCTTCTCACTGCCCCCCACAGTGGGTTCCCAACAACTCCAACCCCTTCTGTATCAACCATGAGAAATCTACACAACAGAGGCTCTGGACTGTGCTTCTTGGGGTGAGCAGGATGGGGAACGGC